TCACAAAAAAGACATTTTTTTTCAAATGGGTCTGAATCCCTCAATCAAACCCACGGGGATCCAATCCAATGTTGTTAAAACCCAGGGCAGGGAGCCCCACCGGGGCCCCCTCGCCCACCGGTGGGGGGGGCCCGGCGACCCGGCTGGCTCCTGGCGGCGCGGCAGGGGAGGAAGTGTCAGTTTGTGAACCTGCCGCGGCCCGGGCCCCGAGCCCGGCGGGCGGGGACCTCGCCGAGCAGGGGAGTCAGGTGGTGGAGAATGCAGGGATTCGGACCGAATGCTCTGCTCAGTGCCTGTGCGCTCTGAACTGGAGAAAAGAGAGGAATGGAGACAAGGGAGGTGGACGGAGTGGCCGCGCCCCTGTCTGAAGAGCCAAGACCCCCGCAGTGCCCTGCCTGCCAGGGGCCCCTGACGTGCCATACACATGTATTTAGCCTCATACGCTCGCTGACATACTGTTGTGGACATCCAACACAGTCTCACAGGAGTACACACTCAAACGGAAAATACATGGGACTCTCCCTGTGTAGAGATAATCATAACACCAGGTGCCCAGCGCCAAGGCAGAGAGAGAGGGGTGCAGGGATCAGAGGGAGGCAGTGTTTGGCTTAGTGGGGAGTGTGTGGAGGGGCTTGCAGCCAGGTGAGGCCAGAGAGGGCTGGAGGGGGCTTTGGGGAGGGCTTCAACTGCCTTTGAAGGCTCTGGGAGTCAGAAGGTTTCTGGAAGAGGAGAAGAAGATGGGAATTGGCCCCGTAGAAGAGTCTGGTGGGGAGACAGGAAAGCAAGGAGTGGCCCGTTTAGCCCTGGGCGCTGGTGGTACCATTCCCACCCCCAGGTGCCCAGCATAGGTGAGCACAAGGCTCAGGAATCAGTTATCCAATGACTCAATGGCCCAGGCAGGTGAGGCGCTAACTTAGACCAGGACAGAAGGATGGAAAAGTCAGAGGGAAGTCACTGTGTGTAAAGTTGGCAGCTGTGGCAGCTCATTGGTTGGAGAGGTCTGATGTGCTTGGGGGTTCTGGGGACCCCAGTAGTATCATGAACAGGAAGAGTGAAAGCATTTTATAGGCTGGTGAGAACCAGGCATGTGGAGAGAGTAGCATGGGGGTGACAACTATTCCAAGCAACTTTGCATCTGAGTAAAAGCATAAGTACGTTTAAATGTCCCAGCACTGGTTTCCATTAAATCATCCCATAATTGAGAGCAGAAAGGGAGATTATAGAAGACACAGATGGTCGAGTCTACACCAGTTCACAAGCCGCACAGGCGTTTTCCTTTCTGGGTAAATTTTCTCTGCCAGCTCTCGGGTTAGGAGTGGAGAGTATAAGACTTCCCACTGCTCCCTGGAGAAGGTCCGCCCCTCAGAGAGCATGCACTATACTTGCTTATGGCAGTGATTTTCAACCCGGGTGGCACAAGAGTTTTTAAAATATGCAATACCTGACTGGTTAGTCAGGGGCACTGATCTCTTTTCCCTTAGATTGTCAAATTATCAAATGACAACAGGAGTAGGGGAGGTGGAGGAGGGTATGGGGGTGATAAATGGTGATGGAAGGAGATTTGGCTTGGGGTGGTGAACACACAATACAGTGTACAGATGATGTGTTATAGACTTGTACACCTGAAACCTATATAATTTTGTTAACCAATGTCACCCCAATAAATTCAATCAAAGGGAAAAAATGACAACAACCAACACAAAAATAGCCTTCAGGTGTGAATGCCCTGAATTGAACCATAAATATAATAGAATTGCATCTTATTGGTCATGATGCATAACAAGGTTGGGTCTGATTAGTTAATTCTTGGTACCAGAAATCCTTATATACAAGTACAGGCACCTGATTTTTTTTTTTTTAATCCTCACCCAAGGATGTGTTTTTACTGATCTGAGAGAGAGAGGAAGGGAGAGGGAGAGAAAAAACATCAATTAGTTGCCTCTCATATCCACCCTGATTAGGGATCGAACCCTAAACCTGGGCATGTGCCCTGACTGCTTTTGGTACACAGGAGGATGCTCCAACCAACTGAGCCACAGTGCCAAGGCTAGGCACCTGGCTTTTTAAAAAAGTCACTTTGGAGCAAAAGGATAGGTAATTACTACTACTATTACTATTATTTTGTAAATCAGTCAAAATTATACCTATTTTTTTTTGTCAGATTGGCAAAAAATACATTTTTGGGGTATGCTGCAGAATTTTAGTAATTAGTTTATGTGTGCCATAAGGTAAGAAGGGTTGAAAATCACCAGCTTAAGGGATAAAGCCTCAGGTTCCTAAGCCAGAGAGTGTGGTTCAGACCCCTGACCTGCAAGACTTTGCTCTGTGGTTGGCTGAGATTCTTCTCTGTAGAAGGCAGTGTGGTAGGCGTGGGAAAGAGACCAGGACTTAGGCTGGGCTCTGATGCTGGCAGGTGTTTCTCGGCATCTAGAAGGGTTCAGAAATCTGGAGAAGGCGCTGCGGTGTAAGTTAATAAAGAGACTAGAAATATAATATACATTTGTAATCCGTGGAGGGAGCCAGAGGAGGCTTGGCTATAGGAACCAAGTTCTTTGAATCTCTGGACCCCTCACTCTTTATTAACACAAATTGCCCTAAGGCAAGGTAGATATACATATCAAAGGTTAAAGTTTAGTATACAGTAGGCATTGTTAGTTTTGGGGGAACTGCCTTGGGCTGTTCAGGTGTTTGGCCTGCAGGAGGCAATGACATGTAGATTAAAATGCCCTCAGCTGTCTGCCAATAGGCAGTAATATATGCAAATCTTTAGGTGTGGGGAAATGCACTTAGCAGCTAAGTTTTAGCTATTCCAGCAGCAGGTAATATGTATTCAGCCCTGCTGAATCCCCAAGTTCCATCAACCTTTTGATGAGACTTCTTGCATTTATGACATGCTCGAATTAGCTTCCGGCAGGGCTCACCTGATTATGAGCCATGGCTCAACCCTGGACCAGCCACTTTCCCTTGCCAAAGCCCAGTTTTCCTACCTGTAAAATGGGAATAGTGTCTCCCTTGCAGGGTTGTCATGAAGATCCAGTGAGATAATAAATGCATCTGGCACATACCACACATCACCTACATGGTGGTTCCCTTCCTTCTGTCGCTGAAGCAAGGAGTAAAAAACCTGTTCTCTTTCTCTCCCAGTAAGAGTGGAAACCGATGGAGAATCGAGCTCTGGACCCAGGGACTCGGGACTCCTATGGTGCCACCAGTCACCTCCCCAACAAGGGGGCCCTGGCAAAAGCCAAGAACAACTTCAAAGACCTGATGTCCAAGCTGACGGAGGGCCAGTATGTGCTGTGCCGGTGGACAGATGGACTGTATTACCTTGGGAAGATCAAGAGGGTAAACCTTTTCTCCCCTGCCCCTGTTCCCAGGCTCAGCATCTCTCTGCTTATCCTATGGCCTAGGCTGGTGATGGAGGATGGAGGATTGCTGGGAAATTCCCTTCTTGTCCCTCATGCTCAAAAGCTGAATATGGAAGGAGCTTTTGCAGGTGCCATCCTTAGAGCTAATATCACCCAACCAGTTCTTTAAAAAAGTGCCTTTTGAGCCTTCAAAGCAAAATGGGATCAGGTTGGAGAGGATCACAGATGACCGTCTGGTTTGTTCTGTTCTCAACATTCCCACCAAGTTGTCCCTCGGTCTCTGACTGTACAAGTCCAGTGGCTGGGCATGTACTACCTCCAGGAGCTGCCATCCACCTTCCCTCTGGCCCACCTCTACTTTCTGGAGCACAAGGAGGGGGTCACGTTAATCTCTGTGTCCTGTGGAGACAAAAATGGGAGGGGAAGACCATGTTCCATGGCTTCTCCCCAGCTACTTGCTCACATTGCTCCTTCCTCTCTGTGCCCCAGGTCAGCAGTTCAAAGCAGAGCTGCCTTGTGACTTTTGAAGATAATTCCAAATACTGGGTCCTGTGGAAGGACATACAGCATGGTGAGTATTCCTAAGGTTTCAGACACCCCTGCCCCACCCACCCTCTGTCCTCTCTCCTCCTCCACCTCTATTTTTTTCCTTCTCTTCTTCTGTCTCTCATTCCCGGTATCTGACCTTGTCCATGAACCCCCAAGCGCCCCTGAGATGCCAATCAGATTATCAGTTGTACATTTTCATGGAAAGGCCTTTGATGACATTTGTCATCCCCTTGAGTGCCCATGCCTTATGAAGGAGGCCAGCAGCTGGAGAAAGTGGCTCGGGAGGTGCTGGGAGCGGCGTGGGCCCCAGGCCTGCATCTGCCTCCTCGCTGCCCTTCATCTCCTGCTGCACAAAACTTGGAGTCTTTCTGGGCTAGGAACAGGGAGGGGCCCAGGCAATCAGAATTGTCGTCTCTAGATGAGCACAGTGTCCCCTACCGGCATGTGAAGAAAACTGGTGGAGGCAGCTCTATCCATGGGGGACAGAGCACGAAAGGAGAGATGGGCCAGGCAGGTGAAGACGGGCATGCCAGTGGAGCAGGGCCAGCTTGCACGGTTGAAAGGGAGCTGGGTTAAGTATCATCCCTGCCCTCAGAGAGTTGACTGTCTTAAATCGATGGCATTCTTGCCACTATTCTCCCTTCCCGTGTACATGACAGACATCGCTAATGAGTCACAACACTCACATATTTTCAACATGGAGCTCCCAGCAGCCTGTCTGCCGTTCATGCTCAAACAGGAGACTAGATGTGATGGTGGTGGGGTAGGGAGGCAGGCTTTAGGGTCAGATACTTCTTGACGGAGGTCTGGCTGTGCCATTTAATAGCTGCATATCCTTAGGCACGGGACATAATCTCTCTGACCCTCAGTCTCTTCTTTAAAAAAAGGAGATGATGAAAGCACTGACCTCACAGAGTGGTTAAATGAGATAATCCACATAAAATGCTTATCCCAGAGTTATAGGGGGGCAGTTTCTAAAGAATTTGTTACCATAAGAGATGATTTCAAGGAGCCTGCCAAGTAGAGGCCACAGAACCCAGGCAGTCAGTAGAGTTCCTAAATGATCTTGATCTCCAAGGTGGTGTGGCTAAGGCAGACTGATTCTTCAAGCCCCTCTCACCTCAATTTATTATATAAAGATCCAAAGCAATAAGGACCTCCTCTCCTTGTTACCCTCTTACTGAAAGCACAGGGAGCCAGCTGCTAAGGAAAGACAGTTCACTTTAGCAGACCATGAGTAGGAGGCTCACCTGGGGAATCTCTTGGCTCCCACCAGATACCTGCTCTTGGCGGGCAGGGCAGGATGGCAGCCCCTGGGGCTTCTCCCAAGGTGAGAGCACAAGGCTGAGCACATCATAGGTATTGATCCATCGCTTCACGAAGCCCAAGACTTACTGAGACCCACAAAGTGTGCAGATAATGAGGAATAAGAGACGAGAGCATTTATTGAACTCAACTAACATGTATTGAACATGTGTCATACACCACACAACTGTATGAGGTCCTGGGGACACCTTGATGAACAGATACCATTTCAGTCTATAGTGGAAATAAGAAAGAAACACACATCAACATGTATTTAATGTATTCACTCAAACCGTTCACACATAAACACATGTTTCTTCTTCAATAGAAACAAAAAAAATGCAAAGGAAAAAAAGAGATGGAGACGGAACCCATAGTTTAAAAGCAATCGAACAAACTTAAAATTGTTATGACACTTATTTGAGACAATTGGAAATGTGAAGACTAACGGAAGGTATTGATATAAAGAACTTATTTTTAATTTTTAGGTGCAATAAAGATGCTGTCCTGGATTTTTTTTTAAAAGAGAGTTTTAGTCTTTCAGAGATACATACGGAAATATTTATGGAAATAATTGGGTATCTGGGACTTGATGCAAAATAATAGCAGGAAGTGAGTGGGAATATTATCAAAACAAGATTGCCCATGAGTTCATAATTGTTAGTGAGAACACAGAGTTAAATTACAACATTTATAAACATTTTTTAAATTATTTAACATAAAAAAACTGCTTAACAAATCAAGTTAAATCAGGCAGGAGAGGCTGCATGATATGGTCAAAAGAACAAAGGATTTGATGTCAAACAGATATGGGTTTGAATCCCACCTCTCCTGCTTACTAGCAGATCAAGGGACTTCACATCTCTGAGCCTCCATTTCCCCATGTTTAGAATGGAGTGATGACAACAGGCACCTCAGAGTGGTTGGGGAGAATCTGTGAGTTGGCATGTGGGGCCCGGTGCAAGGCCCAGCGCACAGAGGCTCAGCACCTGGAATGCGATTTTAAAACTCCCAATTCCCGCCAGCCAGACCCAGAGGGCTTCTCTATTTCAGCTGGTGTTCCGGGGGAGGAGCCCAAGTGTAACATCTGCCTGGGGAAGACATCAGGGCCACTGAATGAGATCCTCATCTGTGGCAAGTGTGGCCTGGGTGAGTGTGATGAGCAGACGCTCAGAAGGCCCTCACCTGTGCCCCCCCCCCCCCAGCCCCAACACACACACACTGGTCCCTGACAGGCAGTGCCTCAGACTGCTGGGTCTCAGCTGGCTTCCTGCTTCTCTTGGAGCTCCAGAGTGACAGGGGCCAGTCTCTGGGAGTGAGGTCCCAGGGAGGTGACCCTTGGAGAGAGCTGGGGCTTTGGAAAGTGAGATGAGTTATGAAATCTGGAGCCCCCCTGGGTGGAGAGCACAGGTGGGAGAGATGGGGCACAGAGGCTGAAGCCAGACTTTGGTGCCTCCCCCACTGGGGCCCAGGCAGTCTTTTAGTCGCCTGCTTGGACATCAACTTGGCTTGCCTTGGTGAGAGCATGGCCAGCCAGTCCCCTGGCAGCTGGCAGGCACCCAGGTCTTGCTGCAGCCCTCCCCTGCCCTGCCGCCTTTGGGCTGACGGCCTGGGGCCACGGCTGCGTCCTTGTGGGCACCCACCACACTCCTCTGTCTAGGTTACCACCAGCAGTGCCACATCCCCATAGCAGGCAGTGCCGACCGGTCCCTGCTCACACCTTGGTTCTGCCGACGCTGCATCTTCGCGCTGGCTGTGCGGGTGAGCCCCTCATGCTCCAGTCCCTGCCTCTTCCCTCTCCAGTCACAAGTCCAGCGACTTTCTGAGCTCCGGCCTGACTCGGGGTCACAGAGCCAACGTTTTGGAGGCAGACAGCGCCTCTGCCACTCGGCCAGGCTCCTTAGCCTTTTGGAGCCTCGGTTTCCTCAATTGTGAAATGGATGCGGGTTTGGTGTCAGGAGTAGGAGGCCCCCAATAAATGGAGCCTTACTGTTAACAGAGAAAACCATGTATGTGCCCACACTCACTAGTTATTGTTACTTTTATTGTGCTTATTACTATTAATGGCGATCTCCTGGGAAAGAGAGGATGGATTTCGGATTCTGGGGAAAAGCTCCTTGCGGCTGACTATGTTGGCGGATCTGCGGGTCCCCCTAGTGGGCATTTCCCTTGTGGCCCAACCGGCACCCTCATCTCCCGCAGAAAGGCGGCGCGGTGAAGAAGGGCGCCATCGCCAGGACGCTGCAGGCGGTGAAGATGGTGCTCTCCTACCAGCCTGAGGAACTCGAGTGGGACTCGCCCCACCGCACCAACCAGCAGCAATGCTACTGCTACTGCGGCGGGCCCGGAGAGTAAGGCCGCCGGGGCGCCCCCCTCCCCCCTCTGGCGGTGGCGGGCCGTCCGTGGGCTGACCTAGAGTGGGAGGTTGAGTATCTCTTCAGTGGGCTAAGCAATCTGCGGTGTAACCTAGACCCCAGGTGATTCTGATGATAGTGGTCCATGGACCACACCTGACAACGTGTGAACAATGACTGTCATTGAGGGAATACCTTTCTGCTGTTAGCTTATATTCAGTGAGTAGTTGCTGAATGGCCATGATAGGGCAGATACAGTACCAGGCGAGAAACACCAGGCATAGTGCTGCCCTGTTGGTTACAGGAGCCATTATTCTCCCATGAAGTCCCCTGAGCAAACTTGACCCTGTCGGTGGTATTTGGGAAGAAGTGTGTGGGGCGCAGTCCAGAGGTGGGGACTCCGGCGTGGCATGGTGGAAGGGTGCTTTGAAGTCAGGCAGGCCAGGATTTGAGTCACCACCCACCACTTGCTTTCTGAGTGACCCTGAGCAAGCCATTCATTCTCTGACCCGTCTATAAAATGGGGATAGTGGCCCATCCTGAGCCCAAATGAAAGCATATGCCCTGCTTACAGGACCTCCCCTGGCACAGCCTAGTGCTCGGTAACTGAGTTCCTTCCCCTACCCCAGTGGAGGGCAGGTTTCTGTTGGGAAAGGTTGCTGAGGCTCCTATCTGGCTGGGGGTGTGGGCCCAGGTGACCCTGGCTCCTCTTGCTCTCCAGGTGGTACTTGCGGATGCTGCAGTGTTACCGGTGCAGGCAGTGGTTCCACGAGGCTTGCACCCAGTGCCTCAATGAGCCCATGATGTTTGGAGACCGGTAGGTGCTGAGCTGATCTGGCTCAGCCTTGAGTGTGAGGTGGGGGGACGGGGAGAGCAGTAGCAACTCCTTCAGTCTACCTGCCAGGCTCTAGTTAAGTGAGGGGGGAAATCTTCGGTAGAGGAATATTCTGGACCACATCCTAGTTGCCATTGATTTGTGGGGGCTCTTAGACAAAGCCCTACCTTCTCTAAGCCCCGGTCTCTTTAAGTGTCTGGGGAGGGGGAGTGACACAAGCCCGGCCCCATCCTGCCCAGGGGTTTGTAGGAACCACTGGGTGAATGGATGACTTGATCCAGCTTCTAACCAGTGGGGCTAAGCTCATGGGAGGCTTATGTGCATCAAACCAGATGTGTGTGCCGGGGTGAGTGTGTGTGTGTGTGTGTGTGTGTGTGTGTGTGTGTGTGTGTGTCTCAGAGGGGAAGAGTGTGACCGCTGCAGCCCAGCCTAGCTCGACCCCCTCTCTCTGAACTCAGCCACACTCCAGGGCAGTAACACTGGGGAAAGGGGTTGAGGTAGGGGTTAGAGGGGCGTAGGGGAGTATTTCTGGGTCTCTGTCCTGCCCTGTCCATACCCCTGCCCCCCTGGTCCTCCAGCCCTAGGAATGAGAACAAGCTGACTATGGGAAGGCAGTGGGAGGTGAGGGGGTGAGGGCGCTCGATTAGGGTGGGGTGTCAGAGCCTCGCCCACCACAGGCCCCCTCTCCACCCGTCCACAGGTTCTATCTGTTCTTCTGCTCCGTGTGTAACCAGGGCCCAGAATACATTGAGAGGCTACCCCTGCGATGGTGAGAGGATGGGGGCTTGGCCCAGGCACCCGCTGTCCCTTCCAGCTCCTCCCCTCCCCTCTTCCTCCAGGAACAATTCCATTTCCAACCACCAGGCCCCAGCTTTGCCCCTGTCCTTGAGCCCTGACCTTGGCCTGCTGCCTCACCCCAGCCCCACCTCCTTGCTCCCTGCCCAGGGTGGATGTAGTTCACCTGGCCCTCTCCACCCTGGGGGTGCAGAGCAAGAAGAAGTACTTTGTCTTTGAGGAGATTCTGGCCTTCGTCAACCACCACTGGGAGCTCCTGCAGCTCGGCAAGGTAGGCAGGACGGGGGGCGGGGGGGGGGGCGGGGGGGGCGGCAGAATGGCAGGAGCTCATTCCACAGTGGGGTTACAGTGGGGTTACACGGTTCCGAGAGGTTTCCCAGGGTCACACAGTGCAGGCTGGGATCCAGGTCTCAGCGCTCGCTCCTAAACTGCTGGCTGGGATTAAGACCCAGAGCCTTTGAGCTGCTGTATCCCTGAGTCCACACCTCTGAGCCTGTGCCTTGTAAGGGGCTTCCTGACCGAGATTTTGACAGTGGGCAGATTAGGACCTCACAGACTTAGCTGCAGAGAGCAAGGGATCAAGACTGGCTGAAGCAGGACAGAGCTGTTTGACCCACTCCAGATTACCTGGCTAGGATGGAAAGTGAAGTGGGCCTGCCCCCTGCTGGTGCTATTGTGAATAGCAGAAGTGGGCATCAGGGGAGTTTCTGGATGTCAGAGGTGGAGAGTGACTTGTCTAGACCCGTGGTCGGCAAACCGCGGCTCGAGAGCCACATGCGGCTCTTTGGCCCCTTGAGTGTGGCTCTTCCTAAGCCTTAGGAGTACCCTAATTAAGTTAATAACAATGTATCTACCTATATAGTTTAAGTTTAAAAAATTTGGCTCTCAAAAGAAATTTCAATCGTTGTACTGTTGATATTTGGCTCTGTTGACTAATGAGTTTGCCGACCACTGGAGGGCATTTGGAGCTGAGCCAAACTGCAGCCAGGGCCTCCCCAGCCACTTCCACTTTCACCCTTAGAATCCTCTCCACCACATGCAGAGTGAGGCATCTTCTCTCCTGACTGCCCCAAACCTTTCTTTGATGAGACAAGGATTTTTTAAAAAACTTTTTAAAAAAGATTTTCATATAAAAGACAAATATTATAAAGCCCTAAAATATAGGTAGAACTGGTATATTTTTAAAACAACATTTTTTGCTGATTTACAAAAAAAAATCATACATGCTTCTAGTAAAACAATTTTAAAGTATCAAAAAGCATAAGGAGCCCTAACCGGTTTGGCTCAGTGGATAGAGCGTCGGCCTGCAGACTCAAGGGTCCCAGGTTCGATTCCGGTCAAGGGCATGTACCTTGGTTGCGGGCACATCCCCAGTAGGGAGGTGTGCAGGAAGCAGCTGATCGATGTTTCTCTCTCATCGATGTTTCTGGCTCTCTTCCCTCTCCCTTTCTCTCTGAAAAAAAACCAATAAAATAAAAAAAATTTTTAAAAAGCCACCCAACTTCCCACATCACACAACCCAGAAACAACTGCTGTTAACACATTTCCTTCCATCCTCTCTTCTCTGTGTACTTTTTCTTTTTATTGCGTGGTTTAGGTTACACAGTATTTTAAACACCCTTTTTCAGTTTTCATTATATTATAAATACCTTTTCATATCATGAAAGAGCTTCAGAAACATTTTAAAGGCGGCGTTGATTCCCATCATAGTTTTCCTGTTTCCTTCCCATTGGCCCAGCATTGGGAACATGCTGCTGCAAGCATATTGTACGGAAAGCTTTGTCTGTGTTTCATATTATGTCCGTATGATAGAGTCATGGAGTGGCGTCATGGGTCAAGGGCATGGACACCTTTAAAGCTCTTGATATATTTAGGACAGGAGTCACTCTCCCCAGTTACAGATGGGAACTGAGCTCAGGTGTAAAGACTTGTCTGGGGTCATGCAATAAGTCACTGGTTCTCACCTGGAGGACTCAGGAGACTGGGGGGGGAGGTGTCGGGTGGAGGCCTCCCCAGATGTCATATGCCAGGGTCTGACTGTCCTGCTGGCCTGCTCCCCCTTAGCTCACCAGCACCCCCGTGACGGACCGAGGACCGCATCTCCTCAATGCGCTGAACAGTTACAAAAGCCGGTGCGTGCAGGGAAGGGGGTGCCGTGGGGCCCCCTCCAGGTGGGATTTCAGTCTAAAGGTCTTTCCTACTTCGTAGCCTTTGCTCAAGCTTGCTCCCTGCCTGGGACTCCTGCCCCTTCTCTTTGACTGTATAAATCCTACCTGTCCTTCAAGATCCCGGGAGACACCCACCTCCTCTGTGACGCTTCCCCTGACCCCTCCAGCAGCGTGACACATTCTTGTCTGGGGGCTGCAACCCTGATCTGAGGGCCCCTCCTGCCCTAGCCATCTAGTTCTGGGCCAGGCTCTGAGGGATTGACTCACCCTCTCTCAGGTGAGTCAGTAGCTTCCCAGCCAGACTTTCGAGTTCTTCTCAGAACCCACAGCTGCCACGCCCCTCGCTACCACCACAGGGAATGGCCAGGCTCCTTAGCACAGCATTCACAGCCCCTATGAGACCCTGCCGCGCCTTCTGCCTCTGGCCCTTTGCCTTATTTATTCTGGATGTCAGCCATTCTGAAACCTTTGCTTTTGCTCCCGTTCTTCTCTTTCATTCATTTGTTCCATCAACAACTATTTTATTGAACTGCTGCTCTGTGTCAGCCCTGTGTAGGCATGAGGACACAGTGAGGATAAGCCCTGGTCCCTGCTTCCATCCGCCGCTGTCAGACTTACCCACTCTCTCTCCCACCTTCGCATGGTTTGGGGCCCAGACACAGCCTTACTCTGCATCCATGAGGCTCCTGTCCTTCCGGGGACAGTCTCCTGAGCGTAGGGCTGCGACTGAGCCCCCTCTGCAGCCTCAGAGCAGAGGGTGTCGGAAAGGTGAGGGCAGTGCCTGGAGGTGCTTTCAGTCTCCTTGTGGAGAGCAGAGAGCAGAATGGGGCTCCACTCGGGGCTGCAGGAGGCCTTCCTAAGGGAGGTGGCTGTGGGGCTGGTTGAGGCAGAGAAGAAAAGGGAGAGGAGGAGCAAGAGCCACCACAGGCAGTGGAAGAACAGGAACCACCAGCCACATCCTCAGCCTCCGCCTGGGACTCCTGATCCCACCGGCTTTGAGGAATCGGCCTCTCCTCGGGCCACTCTGTATTTTAGCTCTGGGTCCAGGGAAGTGAAGAGAGTAGTTTTAACGCTTGACTCTGCTCCCCAGGAGGATGGACCCGACAGACTCCAGAGCTTTCTCCTCCCCTTCCCACCTCTAGGTTCCTCTGCGGCAAGGAGATCAAGAAGAAGAAGTGCATCTTCCGCCTGCGCATCCGCGTCCCGCCCAACCCGCCAGGGAAGCTGCTGCCTGACAAGGGCCTGGTGCCCACTGAGTACGGCACCTCCTCTGAGCTGCGTAAGAGAGGAAAGAGCAAGCCTGGGTCAGTGCCCGGAGACCCAGGGACTAGGGCTGCAGCCAGACTCTGGATCCCAGCTCCCAGCCCCAGCGACACGCCAAGCAGTGGGCCCAGAGTGTGTGCTAGAGTCTGGGCAGGCAGGGAGGACCTATACCTGCTGGCCCGCTGGAGGCACCCTGAGGGGCCAGTCTGGCTGAGCCAGGGCTGATCCCACATGGGGACTCCTTCTGCCTCAGTCCCTTATGGACTGGCTTGGAGGAAAAGCCAGATCCGGGCACCCAATCTTGCTGGATGGGGGCTTAGGCAGAGAAATCAGCGTGAGGCGTCCCTGGCCTTCCTGGTGGAGCTGAGCCCCTCCTCCTGGGCGTGGGGGGCAGAGTACCCGGATGCATGTGCCTGAGAAGGCACCTTCTCTCTTCTGCCCATCATGCCTCCTCCATCCCCTCCCGCCCTGCTGCCCTTTCCCCCTTCCTCCCCAAGTCTCCTGGTGAAGGAGCCCTGCCCCTGCCCCTCCTCCCTCTGGCAACCTCAGGGGCCTGCAGGCTCTGAAGTGGCCACCCTCTCCCTTTTGTCTCCACAGTTTGTTGCCTCATGAATTCCAGCAGCAGAAAAGGCGAGTTTATAGAAGAAAAAGATCAAAGTTTTTGCTGGAAGATGCTATTCCCAGTGTTAGTTTCTCATTTTCTTACTCTACTTTCACACGCAGGATCAGCACATATTAGGGGTTTCTGTGCAGGAAGTGAGTCCCCAGGGGACTGTACCAGGTCCCTTAAGCTCCTGTCACAGCTAAAAAAGGAAGAGCCAGGCTCTGCAAGGCCAGTCCTTTATCTCCCCAAGTTCTTTCCAGAACCTGAGGCGGGGGGCAAGGGTGGGTAATATCCTGTTCCCTCTGTCCAGGCGGGGAAACTGAGGGCCAGGGGAGGGCGGTGACTTTTCTGAGGTCACAGCTCAGGGAGCAGCAGAGCCCAGCCTGCACCCAGGCTCCAGGGCTCGCTTCCCCCTTCAGCTGCCCACCCGGGGAAGCAGTGTTAGCAGCGCCTCCAGCTCTTCACACTCACACCGCCGTCCCATTCTATCTTCCCACACCTCAGAGCGAACACACCAGGGCTCACTGTCCACTTTTGCAGCTGAGACACTGAGACCCAGATATGGGAAGGTCATGCAGGCAACTAGAGATGGAGCCAGGACTGGGTGACCTGCTCCCTAGTCAGGCAGGTCTGGGAATAAGAGGAAGCGAGTCTTACCCTGGGAGGGTCCAGCCCTCAGAAGCTTGGCTGTACCAGCAGGCAGCTGTGCGGCCTGAGGCTCACTGCCCCCTCGCCCCTGCTCCTTCCTCTGTGTCCACAGAGCGACTTTACCTCGGCCTGGAGCACCAACCACCACCTGGCCAGCATATTTGACTTTTCGCTGGATGAAATTCAGAGTTTAAAGAGGTAACAGTGAGGGAACCACCTCCACACCCCAGCAGCGAAGGCATCCTCTGGAAAGTGCAGAAAGCCTTTTGAGGGAGCGGGAGCTCTCCTAAAAGGGGAGGGTGGCCAGGGAAGGCTTTCTTGACTCCTTGGATTTGAAGTCTGGAAGGGGAGGACATGGACAGGCAGAGAGGAGGCCCATGTGTGTGCACATGTCTGTCTGACTTCAATACTCTAATCCATAACTGCCATCCGACTGCAGGCGTGATGACAGCAATGGGAACGTGGGCCCCTGCTGGGAGGTCAGAGGGGCCCAGAGACGACTGGAGAGGTGGGGAGGTGGGGGGCAGTGCTGAGAGCCTACAGCAGGCTCACCCTCTCCTCCCTCTCAGTGCCAGCTCAGGCCAGACCTTCTTCTCAGACTTGGACTCCACGGATGCCGCCAGCACCTCTGGCTCCGCCTCCACCAGCCTCTCCTATGACTCTAGGTAAGCTTCCTGGCAGCCTGGACTCCCATTCCGACCGCCTCGCCCCCCGCCAGCCTCCTCTCCCCCTTCCCCTGCCTCCACCTCCCACTTCTTGCCATGTGGCTCATTCTGTGCATCTGAGGGACCTGGCCTTCTGCAGCTGTGAGCCTGGGTCTGAGACGCTCTGGCTGAGTGGGCTTTCAGGTGGCTCCACTTTGATTGCTGGGTGGCATTTCTCTCTGGGTGGTTCCAGCTCAGGGTCATTTGACCAGAGGTTCTTTCTCTGGGGCTCTTGGCCTCTGCACGCCAGGAGGTTGCATGTCTGTGCCTCTGACCGCAAGGTCCCGACCCTCGTTCTGTGTTCTAGTCTCTGAGGAAAGGAGCCGTGGATTTGGAAGCCTGGTGGAGAGGAGAATGACATTCTGCAGGGTGTGGGGTCTGGGAGGGGGACAGAAACCCCAGAGGCCTCGCTGAGGGGCCAGCCTGGTTGGCAATAGCCGTCCTCAGCGGCGTAGGGAGGGTGAGCTTCTGAACTCTGGGCTCCTTTAGCTCTATTTTGGGGTCCCAGAGGCCCCTGCAAAGTATAATTATGTATCTTGGGAGTTTTTCTCTTGTCTAGGTGTCTTTTTCTGCTGTTGCCTCTGTATTTTTACTTCTTTTTTTAAATTATTAATAAGGGAGGAAGGGAGAGGGAGAGAGAGAGAAACATCAATGATGAGAGAATCATTGACTGCCTCCTGCATGTTCCTCACTGGGGATCGAGCCTGCAATCTGGGCATGTGCCCTTGACCGGAATCGAACCCAGGACCTTTCAGTCCGCAGGCCAGTGCTCTATCCACTGATCCGAAATGGCTAGCGCTTCACTTATTTCTTCCTGTTTCTTCTCACTAGCCCTTTGGCTCTTTCTGTTTCAAGCATCTGAATGTGTGCCTCTTCTTGTACAGCCACTTCTCTGCCAAGTCTGCCTCTTGCTGCCCATGTGTGTGCACATGTCTGTCTGACTCTTGGATATGGGGTCTAACTCTGACCCATAACTGCCATCCGGCCCCATTTGACTTGTCCAGCCCAGACGAGGGACAAGGCAGTGTAAGCGGGGCCTCTGCACAGGATGGAGCCCCGGCCCTGTGCAGGGCTGGTTTCCTAAATATAGAGCAGGACACACCGAGGTCTGAATCCTGGCTCCGTCACTGCCCGGCTGGTGGCTTCTCCCCTGGAGCCTGTTTCCCTCCCGTGGGGCTGTTGTGAGGATCCAGTGGATCATTGGACTGATCCACGCCCGGGGAGCGGGGGGGGGCTGTGCCCAGGGGAGTGCTCAGGAGGCGGCCTGTGAGGATTCCCCCTCATTCTCCTCTTCTGCTCCCCCCACCCAGACGGACAGTGGGCAGCCGGAAGAGGAAGCTGGCAGCCACAGCCTACACGCCACTGCGGGCAAAGCGGCGGGCAGCCGAGCTGAGTGGACGCTGCCCCTCGGACAGTGGGGCCGAGGGGGCTTCGGGCCCTGAGAGGGCAGACGAAAGCATTGACAGCCACACGTTTGAGAGCATCAGTGAGGACGACTCATCCCTGTCCCACCTCAAGTCATCCATCACTAACTACTTTGGTGCGGCTGGGCGGTTGGCCTGTGGGGAGAAGTACCAGGTGCTGGCTCGGAGGGTCACGCCCGAGGGCAAGGTTCAGTACCTGGTGGAGTGGGAAGGGACCACCCCTTACTGACTAGCCCACAGGGGGTGCCAGGAGCCCTGGAAGCAAAGAGACAGTGGAAGCTGCAGGCTCCCAGGTTCTCTTCAGGGTGGGGACGGGGAGGGAAGCAAGACAGAGCTGCAGGTGCCTGGCCCAGGCCCTCCTGTGCCTCCGCTCTGCCGTTCTGCCTCGGGCCTCAGGCTCATCACCCCGTTGCCCATGTCTCTAAGGTCGCAGTGTCCCCACACACTCTGCACTCCTTCAAACTGTTCACCTGTTCCTTCCAATGTGGGTCGCCCTGGCTCTGGGATGCTTTTTCCTGAAGCCTGAATCTGTCTTTGTCCCCGATTTTGTGTCACTTACCTCTCTCTCCCCTTTTGGGTGTGTGTGTTTAGACACCTACACATGCATGCTGTCCCTTGTGTAACTACACACACGAGCCCAGATAAGGGCAGAACAAGAACCGCTGAGAAAGTGGGTGATGGTGGGAGCTTTTCTCTCCCACTTTCCTGCCCCGTCCCTCCCGATCCTTGGGAATGGTGGTGAGGATAGGAGGCTTCTGAGAGCCTGTGAGGCAGAGACCGGCCTCTTCACTCCTCAGGCCTTGAGAGTCCAGGGTCTCTGCCTCAGAGGCACCAGCACCAGAGCCCTATGAAGGCTCGGAGTGAAGGCTAAGGTGTCAGCTTCTGGGGTCCCAGCTTCCTTTCCTTGGCTACACTGCCTCTTGGTGACCATGGAGTGGGGCCTGGCCTTGCTGGAATAGGGGTGGCCTTGAAAACCTGAGACAGGGAAGGGGAGTGGGAGGAAAGGAAGGCATGTCCTGCTAAACCTCCCACTGTTTCTGAACCCTCCCACCCCAGACCACCACACACGCAGCTCAGTACACATTCACTCACACATAAGCTTCCATCCACATGTGCTCTCACCCTCCAGGCACACACACACACACACACACACACACACACACACTCTCTCTCTCTCTCTCACACTCCCCTCTAGTGACAGCCTGGCTCCTGCCTTTGGCTCTCCCTTGGCCCTCTTCCAGGGACCATGTGCTGCAACTAAATGTGAAAGTCCTGCTCCTGCCCCTTCTTTCAGCCCGTGACCCAGCTCTGACCCCATTGGGAAGCACAGGGGACTTACCCCCTGGCTCCTCTGCTGTATCCCCTGCCCCCCACCCTGAACTGACAATCACTTTCTGGGACAGGTTGGGAGTTTTAAAGGGCCTGTGTCATTCAGTCCCCTCAAAGAGAAGCCCTTGTCAGCGGGAGATAAAAAGAATCCTTAGAACCAACATTAAAACTCATACCAATCTGGAGGGAAACCAAAAATGGGAGGGGACCCCTCATTTTTGCTGCTTCCAGAAATATTAGAAACTGACTCACTTGATTGAAAAATGGAACAACGTGCCTTGCCTCGGGGTGGGGGCCGTGCACCAGATGGGGACCGGACCTGCCAACTGCTGCATGGCCTTCAGCTTGGCTGGGCTTTGCAGGCTGCCAGCTGCTAAGCGAAGGTGGATGAACCGTGAGGGGATGGTTTTTCCATTCTAGGCTGACCCCCTCCCCACCTGTGAGCCTCCAGGGGTCCCTTGGATAGTTCAGATGCCCTTGCCTTAAGCCTCAGCTTCGACAGTGCCTTTTTGATGGGACCTCACTTCCCCTAGCTTCCCTGGTGTGGACCAGACAGGTGGTCTGGAGGTGGTTTCCCTGGCGTGAATTAGGGATGATCTGAGGTTGGGCCCGGGTCTCCCCCTTCTCAGCCCCATAGCTGCTGCCACCAAAACCCCAAACGGGGGGTAGGTGGAAGGGGAGCTGAGAAGGCAGCACCCTGCTCGATCTGTGGCTTCCTGCCTTGCTTCAGAGAGCATGGCAACCTCCCAGGCCTGCTCTCCAGGCTTCTGAGAGCACAGGATGAGCCAGGCCTGTCACAGATGCACCGTCTCTACTTGAGCTCCAGAGAGGCTCTGAGCTGAAGAGGAAAAGGAGGGGAAGGGTATCTTCCCCACTTGGGAAGTCAGTATACGGCCTCGCAAGGTCGTGCTGACCCCATGCCCCAGCCTTTCATTCGTTCAAGATCATAGCTGCATTACTGCCAACTGACCTTATGATAATCCTGTGCACCTTCTAAAGATTTATGGTTTTGAATTGCTGCTTTTAATAACATGTTATATTAAAGTTCTAATTAATGTGTCTGACTTACCATTTGAAAGCTCCCTTTGAGAAGTCGCCTATCTCCCCCAGTGAACTATCAGCAGTTGGGTAGCAGGAGGAATTGGCTCTGGTTTCTGGTCTTGGTTCCCTGGAGACGGAGGAATGGTGGGACCCACCCTCTCCCTGGCCACCCTGCCACTCCTGCCACTGCCTACGAATGCTCTCAGCAGTATCCTCACCCTTACCACCAAGAGGATGTGGGACCTTTTTTCTACTGTGAGTATCTGACCACGGGGGGAAAAAGACATTAGCTGAGGGCCACAGAGAAGTAAAGGATGGGAAGTGAACTCAGAAGTTGCCCCTATTAAAATACGTAAGTACAGGCACTATAAGCTATTCCGTGCACACAAGCCTAGCGATGCAGAGTGAGTTCCGGGCGTGGCTCTGCTGGTTTGAACCTGCACCAATTTGGTCTGAGTCCTTTGGTTCAGTTCCTCTCCCTTTCCATGGCAGAGCTAATCCCTGCTGGATTCAGTTCCCTGGTGTCAAGAGGGAATCCTTTCACATATAAATATGATGGGTTATCACTTTAAAAAACTCTACATTTGGGGAAGTTTGGAGAGAGAAAAAATCAGCTATAGGGTGTTGACGACCAAGGATCTAACAATTCTGTAGTTTCAGGGGTAAAGTGTAGCCTGTTAATTCCCATAAGTGTTCACATGTGCCCTTAAAAATCTTCGTTAACTATGGCTTCCACTTTTATCTACCATCCTTTCGCTTTCAACCTTTGAACTGCCCTTGGGACAAAACCACAGTTGGAGCTGGGGTGTTGTGGGGGATGTAGGGGTTGTTCTTTGAGCTGACATTGATGGAATGGAAAGACGGTGAATGGCACAGGTGTCAAGAGACCTGGCTTCTAGTTTGAGTTCTACAGTAAGCAGCTAAATAGACCCTCCTGGGAACAGTGGTCCTCCCCAAGCTGGAGAGGGCCTGGTTCTTTGTGGTCTGGGTTAGTGTTTACAAATCTACAACAAACAGTAATCTTTAGGAGCAAGAAATTCAAATTCTCAGAAATTCCCTAAATCATCAAATTATTCTTAAAATACTTCATTCTTTTTTTTAAAAAAATATATTTTATTGGTTTTTTACAGAGAGGAAGGGAGAGGGATAGAGAGCTAGAAACATCAATGGGAGAGAAACACTGATCAGCTGCCTCCTGCACACCTCCCACTGGGGATATGCCCGCAACCAAGGTACATGCCCTTGACTGGAATCGAACCTGGGACCTTTCAGTCCACAGGCTGACGCTCTATCCACTGAGCCAAACCGGTTAGGGCAATACTTCATTCTTTATACTCTTTCCTTATTGTTATCAATATCTGGAAAAAAAATGTTTAACAAATAAGAATATCAAGCTTAGTTGTATTTACAAAGAACTGGAGCCTAGAGAGAATATTTAAACCCCGGAACCAGGGGACATTACTGAATAGTTTTCAAATCATGTAACATTCAAATATCCTGGCAAGGTGAACAGTATAAGAATCACGTGTCAAAAATGCTAAAGTAAGAATTTATTTTGCTTTGAAAGCTTTTAACTTGGCACACTGCTCATAGAATTTGTATAAAGTATACTTTGTATAAACGTATTTTATTTGCAACACTTATGACACAACAATCACAAGCAAGACTCATTAGACAGTAGCCATCTCTCTCCGACATGCTCCTGCCCTGCTTCTCCTAACCTTCGGCTCCGCTTGCTGGCGTTTCTTGCTCTTATATTTTTATTTGATGGATTCCTTCAAACCAGTAATGTCTCTATGCTTTTAAGCTTCCGTATTCACAGATAATTTTAAGATTTTTTCTCATTTCCTGAACTGATTTTTCTGGAGATTCCTGATTCAAAACACGTTCATGTCCTGAGAAATGCTGGGAAGGCATCCCACGTGGAAACATTGGTCTAGGTCCCGGCCCCAGCTCCACAGCACCGTTTGGGGAGGACTGTGGTAGAGCCCAAACCATGCAAGGTGGAGTCATGCAGACCCTAAAAATCAGTGAACTCTAAATCTATCCTCTTATGTACAGAATAAAGATAGTATCACCTACCTCCAGATCAGTGGGTAGAATTAGGCAATGCAATATGTTTTTAAGTGCCAGACCCACTTACCACATAGATGAAGAACTAAAAAATCTTCCTTTAGAATAGGCTGCAGCAGGCTCTCTGAAAGGGATATTATCCAACCTCTTCGGAAGAGGCAGTAAACAGCATCAAGTTTAGAATCAGAGTTGGGGGTTCGGCCTTCCATGCCCTCTTCCACCTGGGAAGGAGCAGGGATAGGAGCGCACCAGACACAGGGTAGGCAGCCTGGCTGTCCCGTTAGTAACAGCACGCCACTCCCTTTCTGGACCTCCGTGCAGTTCAATTTCCTCTACTTAACCTATAAAGTGGAGACGGGCTTAAATCACTGGTTTATAACTTTTGACGAAAACTTTTTTAAAAGCTCCACAAATCTCATGCGAGCTCAATACATTAAAATAAACAGTTCTGTTGCACTGGCTGAAGGTGGTGGAGAAGGGCAGGCAATCCCCATACCTCTGTCAACCTCTGGGCTCTGTGGGCAAGTCTGAGAAACACTGGTCTGGAGGTTCCCCAGGGTTCTTTCTGCTTTAGGATGCTCAGTTTCAATGCTTCACTGAGCCAGCCTGTCTCCACTGAGCAAGGCACCAGAACCTTCTGATGCCGGTCACATTCAGGCTAGGAAGGTCAAGACGTATTCCCAACCCATGAGCTGTATCTAAGTGCTAATATCTCCCCGGTCCTACACACACTCCTGAAGCCCATTCCCGGACCCACTACTCAGGACTCAGGAATAACAAGTGCCCCCCTTAGCTAGGAGAAATAATCTTGCTTGTCCCTGAAATTGCGCCATTCACAATCCATCCTTTTGAATAAAGTGCTTGCCAGTTCCTCCAGAAGGTGACCTTCAACCCACACACTTCTAGGTAAACAGATCACCAGGTCTATTTCTCCTTCTGAAAACCAGGAGAGTAATTCCACCCGACACTTGAGGTGGCCCAGTGACTGCTGCCGATGACAAACCTCACCCTCACTGCCACCTCCCCTTGTCCCCCACACACCCTCCTTGCCCTCACCTTGGCCACCTGTAAGCAGGAAGCACTCAGAGACACGCTCCACTGGGTTCTTGCGTGGCCCGATTGGCCCAGCGTCCTCTTATAGCCTCAGGAGCCTCGGCCCTTCATCCTCTACAAGTTACTTAGCTCCTCTGTGCTGACAAAAACAAGGAATCCAGAGATGCTGGGAGGCAGAAAGAGGCCTCCTTTCCCCAGAGTGCAGCTGATGAAGACTAGCGGCAGCCAGCAGGATCCACAGAAGGCCGCCCCCCTCAGTCCTCCTCCATGCCCTCCTCCAGCCACTTCAAATAGTGCACATCTCCTTGGTCCATAGGAACACTGAAGACCTCTGGGATCTCGAAAGGATGCACCAACCTTTGGGAAGAGAGCAGAGTCCTGTGAGTGACTATGATTAGCATCAGTGAGGTGATAAAACCCAGCGGGCCAGCCTCCCTTGAGGCCTCTGCAATCTGCTGCATCCCCTGTCCACCTCCGTAACCCACCACCCCTATCTACAGTGGTGAGTTGGGCCAGATAGCTTTACAGTCTCACAGACATGGGTTCAAATTCTAAGTCTGCCCCTTACTAGCTATTTAACCATGGACAAATCACTTACTTTCTCTAAAGGCCTACAAAAGAGGGAATGAAAATAGCACCTACATGACTGGATCACTGAGGATTAAATGAGACAAGGTACATAGAGCACTTAGCTGGTACACTGACTGGGACTGTGCATTCACTGAATGTTAGCTGCTGCCTCTGTTACTATCCCACACTCATCACTGTGCCTTCCCCAAACACCACCCACCCCGATACTGCTGTATTCTCTGCTCCACCTAGAAAGTTCTCCCTGCTCCTGTTCATCAATCAAAATCCTCTTGATCCCTCAAGACCAAACAACCATTGACATTTTCCAAGGGATTTCTCTTGACTTCCAAACCCACAGAACCTCTCTCCCTTCCCCCCCTTCTTTCACTTGGCCCTCGGCACACCATGCAAGTTTTCTTCATTTTCCAGACTAAAGCAACATGAGGCCTTGGGCTTCAGTTTCCCATCTGTCAGAGGGAGTCATAATCCTCTGCTTCCTTCCTGCAGAACGAGACACTGTAAAGTTCTCCTGAGACACACGCATCACAGCATGTGCCCAGGTGCTTACTCGTTTAGGGTAAGCTGGGTAATTTTACCTGGTGCCCCAGGACAATTAATTTTCTTATTTCATGGACACCTGGACCAGTGTATGTGTTTTTATAAGCAACAATATAGTATTCAGAGAGAGTAGGACATTTGTAACACGTTAGCAGTAAGAGCTGCCACTGGTGCAGCACTTCATGTGTCTACCTCACATACATTCATCCCAAGGGACCATTATGGCCCACATTTTATAGATGGGCAACTGAGGCACAGAAAGTATAACTAATTTGCATACACTTCAGTTACACCTAGCAAGTAGAGTTAAGAGTTGACGCTGGAGGTTAAGCTCTGGGTTTCACCATCTTAACCATGAGGCTGTCCCTCACCAGATAAGCTGTGGTTTCTTGGTAGTGCCGATTCTACCAAAGGTGCCTGTTCCCCCACCTCTGCTAAGGTGGTAACACAGGGCCTTCTCTACCGCTAGCTCTGAGGCCCGGGTATAGCCATCTATTCACAGGATCCTGGTGGGAGTGAAGGAAAAGAGTTTCATCATCCAGTAAGTAACTTGCATCCTAGCCTCACATCAGAGTCAATCCGGGTGCTTCTGAAGAACGTATTTGATTCCCATTTTAGATCAATTAAGTCCCAATCTGAAGTGGGGTTTAAATTGGTAATTTGAAAGACACCCCCAAGGGATTATAGTTATTAGCCAGTATTGTTTAGACCAGTCCTTCTCAAGCTTTTAACGTGCATGGGAATCACCTGGGGATCATGTTAAATGCAGTCGGGTTCAATAGGTTTAGGGTGAACATGAGACTGCAGCTCTATTCAGCTTTCAGGCGATGCCAATTATTCCAGAACCACACTTTGAATGGTAGGGCTTGAAACTAGTAAGGCCCACTGATCCCTGGGCAACTCCAAGGTTCTTTCAGGAGTTCCATGAGTCCATTAGTTCATAATAATGCTAATTTGTTATTTATCTTTTCACTGTGTTGACATTTGCACTAATGATGCAAAAGTGATGATGGGTAAAACTGCTGGCACCTTAGCATATGCATCAAGACGATGGCACCAAACTGTACTCACTGTTGTATTTTTCACCACACACCTGCACTTGCATAAAGTCAAATTCACTTAAGAACATCCTTGACAAAGTGGTAAAAATTACAATTTTTATTCAGTTTTGACCCTTGAGTACATGTATTTTTAGCCTTGTGTGACAACATGGGAAGTATACAGAAAGCACCGTGCTTGTGCCTAAATTCAATATGTCCTATAATTGTCTGAGTCACAAACTAAAACCAGACGTTCTCATGGAGCACCATTTTTAAGCCTGAGTTACTGTAAACTGTCATTTTTACAAATTACGGTTACTCAGATTTGAGGATTAGGTAGACACTGTCTCAGACATGAACAACGTGAGTCCATCACTTGAAGACAATTTACATCATGTGTTGCCAATTTAAAAAAATTATGTTTTCAAGCAAAAATTAGAAGTTTGGAAAACTTGAATTTATCACCATGAGCTTTCCAAGTGTCCCAATACTTAAAGATGTTTCTTATTAAGCCATATTTTCAAAAAATGTAAAATGATGCCATTCTTCTCACTTTTGGGGGGTGGTGGAATATGGTTACTTTCCATAAAAATGCATTGTTTACAACATTAATAAGTAATGGTTTTATTATTGTTAATTTAAAAAAATTCTTAGTTTTAATTTCTAACATAGTTAACTTTGATATAACCCACATAAACAAAGCTCTTTTAGGTCCCTGATAATTTTTTAAAGTGTAAAGGAATCCTGAGACCAAAATTTTGAGAACTGCTGGTTTAAACTAACTCACTCTAGCCTCTCATTTTACATACGGAGAATCTGAGGGACAGGCACCTGTCCAGGGTCATATGGAAGGTTTGTGACTAGGTTTCCTGCTTTCCACACTCATTCACTTAATCCCTAGAACGGTCCTGGCTGAGAAGAGACGCCAGTATTACCTGACATAGCTGGACAGCATGCGGACCTTGGAAGTCTTTGTCTTTATTAACTGTAAAAGAAAAAAAAACAACACTGCTTTACCTCAGCCCAGCTCTGCAGCTGCTCATTTTCTCATCTGGCTATTTAGGAGACAGCATTCCCTCTAGGTCAGGCCCTGTCACTAGCCTGCAAATGAATCTAAGGCAAGAACCTCAACCAGTTGATCTTTGCCAACTTTTCATTGGAACCTGGGAAAAAGGCTATGCTCTCACTCTTTCCGTATCAAGGCCCATACCCAAACCGAACTTCACTCACCAACAGGATCTCAGTGGCTTCTTCTATTTCTCCATTCCAAAAGTACCTGGAGACGAGAACAAGACCAAAGGATGATGCTCACAAAACAAGCCCACTGAAATGTCAAACCTGGCCCAGTTAGGTGACTTACTGAGGTGGAAACTTTAAAATCTTTCCAAGTCCACATAAAGAAGTCTACAGTTGGCCAAGGCATGACAGGTCATCTAGTCCAATCATTCTAATGCATGCTTCTAGCATCTGCCTGAACATTCCTGGAGGTGAGAGGCTGGCCATTGCTTGAAGAAGTCCATCTACCTTAAAGGTTTCCACATGAGGTGGTTTTTCTTATGGTGTGCCAACATCTGCCACCCAGTTGTTTTCCCCAACTTCCATATGGAGAACCACCTCAGGAGAGTCAACCTGACGCTCCTGCTGTACAGAAACTCCTACGTTTTCTCTCCTCCAAACTGGGCATCTCTGGCTTTTTCAACACTATTCTATACTCATGGCTTCCAGGCCCCTCCCCATCCTATGGAATGGGGCTACTTTTTTTTTTAAGTTCTTTTTTTTTTTAATATATTTTATTTATTTTTTTTACAGAGAGGAAGGGAGAGGGATAGAGAGTTAGAAACATCGATCAGCTGCCTTCTGCACACCCCCTACTGGGGATGTGCCCGCAACCAAGGTACATGCCCTTGACCAGAATCGAACCTGGGACCCTTCAGTCCGCAGGCCGATGCTCTATCCACTGAGCCAAACCGGTTAGGGCGTGGAATAAGGCTACTTTTACCACTGACTCTCAATGTTGAGTGCCCATGAAAGGATAAATAAGAAGCAGAGGAGGCTTCAGGGAAGAAGTGAGCCTTACAAGACATGGAAACAAGTCCAAAGGTTAAAAGTCAGTGATGACATTCAGAAAAGAGTATGAGAACAGCATCACGTGAAGGGAAGGGAAAGAAATTTGGCCTGAGAATATCTACACTAACCCAGGGGAAATCTAAGATGACTTGAGCCACTGGCCCTGCCTCACAGAGCCATGGTAAAAGGATCAATTATAGGCCATCTGAAGGGAATACCAGGCTGAAATTCTGTTCTAGGTCCCAAGCATTGGTTCCCAGACTGGCTTTATGTGAATCACCTATTCTACTTCTTAAAAATTCAAAGAACCAAGCCCCACCCTCAGAGGGACTGATTGAGTAGACCTAGAATGGAGCTCAGGAATTGGAAGCACAGCCAAACTTGGGAGCCATAGCAATAAATGATGTGAGCCACTGAGGCAATGACCATGTTGGCAAGTGGGAGGAGCTTTAACTATATAGCATTTTTCTGTTTTGACCTTCAGAGTAGATATTATTTTCTTCCCCATCTGTCCTTTTTCTCCCCACCCCATGCTCTTATTCTCTCTCTTTCCAGGAGGGAAGATGAGGAACAGGCTAATCAGAGCGTTTAAGGCACAAGACAAATGCTGCACAAGGTGTAGTGGGATGCTAAACTATTTTAATGAAAGAAATGGGACAGACCAGACTTAACTAAAATAAAGGTGTCAATGAAATGAAAGACAGGCAAGGCACAGAAACAGCCTGTCACATATGCCAAACTCTCGGTTTCCCAAAGAATCTAAAAGCAATGGAGACTATCTCCTTTGATAGCCCTACTTGCCTCGCTCAGGGATAGAATGCCCATTCTGGCTTCCTTGCTAACAGCAAACTAATTAATTTAAACAAAGAATGTGCAAGCAGGACTCACTGTTCCTAAACTGGAGGGTTTCCCCTCCTTTCTCTATACACACACAGCACATTTTTGCTTTTGTTCATAGAATGACATAAACACACTGGTTCATTTCCTTTGAATACAACTCAACAGTGAAGTGTTGATTAATTAAATGCGTCTGAGATGTTCTTTCACAATTCCCCATTAGTTCAGTACCCCTCCCACCAGCTAGGACCTGACCTTCCACCGGCCACAGCAAAACTCACAATGAGGATGCCTTGGGCAGGATGTTCACAGAGGCAGCCAGCTTCTTATCCAGTATAGCCCTGAAGCAAAGAGAGTGACAGTCAATGGGGCAAGTGTCCAGGACCTTAAGAGAAGGAACAAGGTAGAGGCATTCCTGGGAGCTAGATAATCATTTAGAATGCCCCCCCCCGCCCCGCCCACAAACTCCAGGCACTTTTAATGACAGGCCCAGTCTGCCTGGGGAATAGGGATTAACTCTGGACAGAGAACAAGAAGACCTGGTTCTTTTCCTGGCCCTGCAGTAGTATGGCTGTGTGACCTTATGCAAATTCTTTCTCATTCCAGGAGTAAGTATTTAAGCACCTCTCCAAGACAGGCATGTCCCCTCACTCAACCGACTCTCCTGCTGTACAATGAGAAAATGGTTCAACCAGTAGCTTCCAACCCTTTCACCACCAAGAACTCCTTTCATTATGCCACCTCTGCTTCTATCCCACAGGTATGTATCAGGCTGCGCTCGGTGCTTCTGATCTTTAGACACCCATGTGACCACACAGCTCCACATAAAAACAAAAAGGCATCATAACTGTGTTTGTCTTTGGCAAATATAGGCTCGTTTCACCTTTTTTTGTAAAGGTTTCTATCATAGCCCTAAGCACAAGATCATCACCTTTGCAGACCTCTAAGACTTTTTTTTTTTTTTTTGACAGACCACAGATTGGACTTCCTGGTCTGATAATCTCAGATTCCTATGCAGCACCCTGGTGAACACAATACACGTACAAAGGGCTTGAACTAGTACAGGTGTCATAGAAATAGGAGCACCACCAAGTCACTGATGCAAAGAAGTGTCCCCAAACATCAAACCTCAAGCCCTCAGAATCAGGCCTTGCCAAATAAACTTCATCAGAGCTCTGCTCACTGTTCCCTCCTTCCTCCAGCTGCTGCCAAGAGAACCGACCTACTTTCTCTTCCCTTGGGTTCCAGGTTAAACAGTGCTCTCTATTTAAGGCTCCACATTAATGTGGCATCACCACCACCTCATTCCTCTGCAAAGTTCTAGGAGCTAAATAAATCCCTGACCATAAGGAGAGGCACATGGCACAAATGCGTTTAAGCAACTGCTGCCGAGTCTTGCTCCCTCAATCATTTGCTGAGAAATTACATTTTATTAGTTCTGAAGGTGGCATGCAAACACAGGAAGTGAGTTAAACCTCTAGAAAAAAAAATCCATTGCCTCATAACCACATCACTAAAGACACCCCTTCAGATTTTTAGAACACAGTAACGAGAACGCTTCATGTAACAGCAACTATGAGGAAGCCCCAAAGAATAAAAGGCAGCCCCGAGACACAGCAAGGGAGCACACAGGGGGCCTGCCCCAGAGATAAGAGCAACAGTCTGTACCAGGGGCAATGGGAACCAGAGCAGGCAGGAACTGGAGGCAACCAGCAAGGTGAACTGCCGGAATGCCACGGCAGGAGCAGGTGGATGCCCCAAACCTCCCATGGCCCCACAGCAAAAATGGGGTGTCTGTCTCCAGGAAGGAGCAGTAAGTGTAGGCACTTTGGGGGGAAAGGCAAAACAATGTACTAGCTGGTGATGGCCAAGGATAAAAGGGAGAATTCATACCCAGAAGACCAGTCACTAGGGCACCTCAGTCTGTGGAATGTCCCTCCAAACCACACTCACACTGAAAACAGTGCTGCGAATAGCATTCCTTGCAGCTGTTCCCGTGACTCCCCACCAGCATAGCTAAAAAGATGAGAGGTTACACTTAAGAATCACAAAGCATCTGAGGAAAGCCAATACCAAGAGAAACAAAAATTCAACAAATGAATTTACAGAAGAGGACCAGCTAACAGTACATTCAAAACCAAGATTTAAGCAGCTCCCTCGCTGCGATCTATTGAAAGTCAGCCCTCGACACACACACACACACAAAAACACACCAAGATTTAAAAATAAGTATAATCTCAGATTCCTGTAATTATATACATAATTACAACTACTTGAAAGTTGCTAAGAGAGTAGATCTTAGAAGTTCTCACTCCTGAAAAAGGTAACTGTGTGAGGTGATGGATGTGCTCGCTAATCTTATTGTGCTGATCATTTTGCTATATATACATGTATCAAATCATCACGAGTACTCCTTAAACTTTAAACAATGTTATATGTCAATTCTATCTCAATAAAGCTGGAAAAATTAAAAATAAAATAAGTATAATTAATATCTACAGAAAGATAAGGCAAGATTATTGCATCCATAAAATAAAATCGATTATAGGATCAGATATTTATGAAACGTGAGTAGTTGGTTATGAAAGAATAATTAGAAATCCTGAAAAGGAAAACTAATCGTTTAAACAAAAAACTCAATAGAGGGGCTGAATAGAAAAATAGATACAAATGAGAAGCAAATAAGAGAGAAGAATGGGCTCAGAAATTGTCCCAGTATGCAGAATAAAGGAGCAGACAAGGAAAGAATACAGAAAGAATAGTTAACAAATTAATAGCTGAACATTAAGATAAACAGAGAATCCTAAAAATTATCAGAGAGAAAAAGTATTTCCTACAAAGGAATGAGCCCCTGATAAACACCTGACTGCTCATCAACAACCTTGGATGCAAGTAGAAAATAGAGATCTCTCTCCAAGCTGATACCGATCCATTTACCTGAACTGGCCTTTCAACCAGTTGGAATCCAGCCATTAGGATGAATTTCCTCCCAAGACTGAACTTCACAGATGTCAGCTGAAGTTGTTCCTTAACAGGACCCAGAGTGGCTGGCCCAGGAGTCCAGAGAAAAGAGTTCAGTATAGACCCTCGGTCTATAGCAGGAGTATCAGGAGGGTTTTCAATTCCTAGCTACTAAATACCATGGGTATCTCTGGAGTAATTATAGTTCTTTTAGATAAGAGCTGGTCTTCAAAGGTAATGTTAACAAGGGAAAAATACACATTCTGGTTGGAGGAAAGAGAGATGGAATCAAATGCAAGGCTAACCTGTGACCAACAATGTGGAGGCTGTTTGCTCCCAAAGACCAGATTCAACATTTGAAAACACTATAACCTAGTCTTATCATCAACTTCAAGAATGTTGAGTTTTGGATCAAGAAGAAAGGGATCAAGGAGCCAAATCCATTATCCTCCAGTTCCACTAACCCTCTTCAAAGCTGCATCTATAAAGAGAAATGAAGGGGGCAAAATCCAGACACCACAAACATTTATTGAGCACCTACTACATTCAAATTACTAATGCTTAAAGAAGGGAAGTGACTTGCCCAAGTTAACACGGTAAGTGGTAGAGCCAAGACTGAAACTCTGGTCTGCTTACAAGTCCAGTGTTCTTCCACCATAACACAGCTGCTTCTAGAAATTTTCTAAATATTTAGAATGACTGCCTCCTCCTCCTCCTCACTGTCATAGTGAGCACCTCTGGGACTGAGCAAAGAGCGTATCTCCAAGAAGAAAGACAGATGGGCCAGGAATGAGGAGACTTAAATTCTCAACAGGTAGGATTTCCACTGTTCTCTTAGCACCTTGGATAAGCCATACATCCCTCTGGGTCTTGTCTCCTTATATGCCCCCACACACACCACTCAACATTTTAGGCTCAGCAGCAGGATCCATCAAATCATTCCGCTGTGTAGTTCATCACTGGATGGACAGGATTGTCAGAAGCAGAAGAAGGGCCTAAAAGTGGCCCCAGATAGCATCCTGGTAGCTCCCTGAGCCTCCTGGGGCAGCACCTAAGTGCCTTTACCATACCTGGCAATATCTCTGGCAATTTGCTCGTTGGGACAGTTGACAAAGACGATGGAGTAAGTGCCGGAGACATAACTGCCAGTGACAGCTGAATGGAGCTGCAGGCTAAGAGTCCTGAGCATGGGGTAAGTCAGGAAAGAAGCTGTCAGGATCTAAATGGTGGGAAAAAGCACAAGTCAGCAGTGACATGACAATTTGCTATCTCCTGCTCAAGCAGATTGGAACCAGGGCTGGGCATCATTTTTCATACCCATTCCCCATCCAAAAAAATAATTCCTGGGATCTTGAGCTTTAGTACTTCAACCAAGTTCTGTCTAGATATTTACCTCTGCATTTTGCAGATGATTAAAAAAAATAGGCTCAGAAATCAAGAAGCGTGTTCAAAATCACATAGCTTTTATTTGGTTGAAGCCAGGATTAGGACTCAAGTCTGGATGACGGGAAATCCATTCTGATGGAGGTAATGCCAACTGGCATCCACTGAACTATCATCCTGTGGAGATTATAATGAATGATAAGCTCTTACATCTAATGATGTTTGAGGAGTTACCTTCACCTCCATTCATTTGTATATGTGCCAGACACTGGGTAGGCTAGTGGAAAGGGTAGCCTAATTCTAAAGCAATACAACCTGTGCTACTAAACTGAGCGCTCAGGTACCATAAGGAAGGCTCTACCTGAGAGAGCAGAAAAAAGCTTGGAAGAGAAGGTACCATCTAAGTTGGATCTGGAATGAGAAGTAGGATTATAAGAGAAGAGGGACACATGCTAAGCAAATAGTAATATGTACAAACTCAAGAGGTGTTAAGGGATAGATAGATGAGTTATAGTCTGCATGGGTCTTAGTCTGTGGGTATGAGGTCAGGAGGAAATGAAACTGGCTACAACTATAGAGAAAAGGGTCAGGCTAAGGAGTCTGGAGTTTGTACTCAAGTGGTCTGGTATTTTTGGAGGTTTTAAGTAGCAGAGTAATAATATAGTGAAGCTGAGTAGGGTACCAGGAGGGAGGAGGGAGAATGACCAGTGATAGCCTACTTACACGGCCATTACAATAATCCAGGAAAAAGACTTGAAGCTAAGAAGATAGCAGTGACAACGTGAAAGGAAAAGGCACTCAAGGTATTTTTCTTACTATTTTAATGATAAACATTTAAAATAAGAAGAAATGAAAAGAACTGGAAAACACCTTCCTTCCCAGGTTCTCTGCTTGGGGAATATAATGGAGTCATTAACAGAGAGAGGCAGCTTGCAAGGAGTCCCACTGTGACTTAAGCCAGGCTGAACAAGAGGGTGTTTCTCCTGCCTCCAGCCCA